CCTCACATGCTCCCACAGTGGGAGAGCAAGCGTCCCACAGAGGCATTTTTCTGTTATCTCCAGTCAGAGATCAGAGAGAACGAGAGATTCCACTGTGCTTGGCAGGGCTTGCTGGACCTATTTCTGCAAAACCCAGCCGAGTCCCTTTCTGTGCGTCTCCTGCTCCAGTAGGGACATGAGCTAATGCAGGAGGAAGGTGCTGGACTTGGCTGATGAGTGTAGGAGCCAGCTTCAAACCATGGTGGAAAGGCAGTCCTAATTAGTGCTAATTGCAGTTTTGCCTGATTTGGATGTCACAGTGTCTTGTGTTTTGTGGCTAGAGGCAGGCAGGAAGGCGAGGCGGGAGGAGGACAGTTCAGAGAATGCTAGCACGATGTCTGAGCTGAGTCATAGATTTCACTGCAGGCTTTTTTGGGAGTATAAATTACAGCTGACTGTGGGTTCAATCTCTACTATTCTTCTCCCTGTGAGTTAATGTGCAACAGATGTTTATCTGCTCACACCAGTTAATCTAGATTTCATAATTCCAAAGTCAGCATTGAAGGAAAATTAAAATCAGTTGGAATGTTGCAGGTTTTTTGTGTATGCAATTCCTTTGCATCAGAGTGATGCACTTTTACTCCTCCATACCAAATACCCCTGGACTCAAACTCCCATTAGCCTGAGCTAGCATGGCCAGTAGTCAGGAAGGATGGGAACTGTAGCCCAACAACATCTGTAGGACCATGAGTTCCCCATCCCTCCAGAAATTGTTCCTACTTGGCAGTGTAGGGAATTACATATTTTACTGCAAATGTGTATGCATAACATGTGTGCCCATTGTCGTTTTAATTAGTGCTCCACCCATGTTCCCTGCTCTGGGCACTGTTCTAACATTTCCAAGCTAATGCTCTTCCTGAATTTAAATACACTCCAAAATACACATGAAAGTGCACTTGCCACCTTCAGAAATGTCAGATTTCTGGCACAGAGAGCATTATTTATTCCTCTCAGATTTCTAGAACACTGTGTATGAGTAGTCGTAAAATGGTCTTTCTAATATTTAAGAATGTTGCAGATTTAAATGAAAGTCATTGCATCTCTACAGATGGACAGCAAAACACTCTCATGCCCATCTTTAGGTCCTACTGATCAGTTGTGTTGCACACACAGGCATCCTGTTCAGGATTAGGGCTGGGGTTAGGGTCTTTTGTTTGTTTCGAGTAGAATCTTCCAACAGCAAGTGTTGGTTCATGGAGTCAAGAGAATACAAGCTGATAATGTTCTGTCCATTCTAGAATGTTTTCTGGGCTAATGAGACTCGCAGTTTTGAAAAAAAGTTATGGTTATAATCTTAGTGATATCATAAGGAGGGATAACTATAGGATGAAACACACAGATCCACAGGCTGGCATCCTTATCTTTCATTTTAAACATCACACTGTTTCTGCTTCTGCCATTGTCAATATTTCTGTCGTTTTCTCTATTGCTTATTAATTTGCCTCCTTCCATCTCGTAGCTGAGATCCAAACTGAGGCCTGTCCATGCACCTCCTTTCTCTATTGCATTTTCAAAACTGCACCCTACTGGTTGCTTCTCCTATTGCTTAAATCTCATTTCCTCCTGTACTATAGCGTACCTTTTGAAATCTCTCATCACTCACACATAGAACCCCTACTTCCATACAGCGGTCTGTCACCAGGATTATTCACTTGACTAGCTAAGGTTGCCGTGGCAGTCACCTCTACGATTTTTACTGAGTCTTTTTGCTGCTTCAGTCCACTCTTCCTTTCATTTTAAGAATGTTCATATGTTCATATTACTGAGACTTTGATCTTCCTCATATTTCTAATTGCAACTGCTATCTATCGTTGACTACCTTTTTTTATTCATGACTTGCTACCTCTTTAAAAAGTAATTTCAAACAACACCATCCTTCCCATTTCTTTTACTAAGAGCACCTTCCCTTGAAGCATTTTCCACCTTCCTTCTATTCTGTTTGCTCTATCTGGATTTTAGACTTTTTCTTTCCTACCTTGCATTTTGGACAATAGTTAAGCTTGTAAGGATGTGGCCCTATGTCTGCCTGGACAGAAACTGGGTGTCTAAACAGGCATAAGATTGTACCTACTGGTATGATCTATAAGACCAGCATCTAGCGGCTGCAGATTTTTAATGACTTTCCCTTTCAAAACTTTCTGAAAAGCCAACCCTCCAGAGGTCACTGAAGCATATGACCTTTGTTCAGGCTATATAAGTCAGCCATGCTTGGAGTGCAACAACACAATGTTGTATGCCTCTGACTGGGTTCAAACAGCACAAAAACTGCACATTATTGTCATTGAACTGTGATTATTTGTAACAAACCCCAGGTCACATCCCAGTGACCAGCTATAGATTCTCTTCCAGGGTGGTTTGTGGTTAAACCATGGCTTGCTGGAGCAGCTGCGTTCAGGCAACATGATACAACAACCAACACACTACCCTCAAGCATGGGTTATTGTGTTGTTTGAACCCAGTTGCTGTTTCCTACTAAGGGAGACCATAGGTCCATCTAGCTTGGTACTGACTGTTCCAGTGAGGGGCAGACTCCCCAAGGCCAAGGGCTGAGTGTTCCTAGCACTGCTGCCTGCAATCCTTTTTCAGTGGGAGATGCCAGAAATTAAACCTGAGATCTGCAGCTTGCAAAGCAAGTGTTTTCCCATAGAGTACCTGTCCCTCTCCTCAAAGCAGCATTCATTTACTTAACATTTCAATGTTCATGTCAAAGACAGGCATTCCAAAATGTGTCCTTTCCTTAAAAGCATGCACACAAGGAGTAGTGAGTTGATCGTCAGTTCTGCTGGAACACGTCCCACCCAGTCTGTTGATTTGCCTGTCCTATTTTTCTAGGTTTAGTTTCTGAAAGGAAGGTCCTGTGGAATCTCATGTTGCTTGATAAAGAAAGAAACATCTATGGGATTCTTTTTTCGTTGGCTGTATGAAATCATGGTTTCCAGAGTTGACTTAGCTAATAGTTACAGCCAATGTTTTGAACTGACAGTTTTGGCATGTTACATAATTCATTCACTGTACAGTGTATACATAAGAAACGCCGTAGCAATAAATCATACATAACAAGTGAGGGGTCCCCTATGCTGTGGTTAAGGCTCCCCCTTGCTTGCGTTCTTAATGGCCAATAGTCTGTTTCATCTGGCACAAGGTCGTCGTAAAGTGGGTCAAATTCAATAGTGTCTGTGCTTGCCAGAACAAACGGCGTTCAGCAATGCAGACCTTCTGTGTTCCTTCAAAGATTGGTGCGCAACAAGAACTTCCTCTGTTGTAGACAAGGAGTCTGTGGGTTCAGTGGGTTCAGTCGAGTGGTATCACAAATAAACATACAGCCTCTCCCCACACTTGAAAAAATTAAGTTCAATAATGGTTGTTATACCTCTAGTAACATGCTTTGAAACAAGCACTGCAGTGTTGGAATCTTTTTTATTTTATTTTAGATTGTTGACATGGCTGAATGCAGCCCAGCAGTATTAAGAGGGCTATCTAATTCATCAACAATGTAATTGTAATCCTCATTAGAATAGGCTTGTTGTTTAAGGGTTCAGAGCACCTTGCATGCATGATCTTAGTCAGTAAGGAGCTTTCCCAAGGCTGTCAAATAGATTTAAGACTGTAATTGGCAAGATCATGGCTCATAGTTCACGTGTACCTTAGTCATCCTGGTACCCTCCAGATATGTTGGATTGGAGCCTCCATCCTATGAAGCTAGCATGGTCAGTGTTAGGTGGTGATGGATGGTATAGTCCAACCCATCTGGAGAGCACAAAGATGGGGAAAACTGACTGAATGCTTTAAGCACTATCTTAACCATACATAACCATTCTCAGTCATTCTCAGCCCTGCTGGATGGGAATTCTGGAAGTTGTGGCCCAAATGTGTCTGAAGACCACCAGGTTGGGAAGCCTGTGTTAGTGTGATGGATCTGGTAGGAAAGAAGAATGCTGGTCTCCTCCCAAGGCTTTAGTGTCTGTTTTAGCAACTCTGTTGAGGATAACACCATGGATAGGTGTGTCCCACCATTCCTTATGTCCTTGGAGCCAACATTAGAATGATAGAATCACAGAACACAGAGTTGGAAGGGGCTGATAAGGCTAGCAGGTCAACCACTGTTCACCACAGGACGGCAAGTCAAAGCATCTTTAACCTATGGCTGTGCAGCTGCACCTTGAACGCCTCTGGTGTGGGGCAGCCCACAACCTTCCCAGGCAATTGGTTCTGTTGTCACTGCTCTAACAGTCGGGACGTTTTTCTGAAGTTCAGCTGGAATCTGACTTCTTGTAACTTGAGCCTGTTATTCTGTGTCCCGCACTCTGGGATGATAGGGAAGAGATCACAGCTCTCTTCTTTGTGACAGCCTTTCAAATACTTGAGCAGTGCTATCATATCTCCTCTGATTAGTAGTGCTCTCTGTAGTTATATATAACGGGTTGGATCCAGATTTAGTGAGATGTAGAATATTGATTTCAATGTCTCTAACTCTAACAATAAATCCAAATCCAAGCCAAGGATAAATCCAACCAATCCAAATGATTACTTTAGCCATGCTGTAAATATGTGTGGCGTTATCCTGTCCAAAAAAAGCAAATGGACTACAGCTGAAATCTGGGTATTTGATATGTCCTTTCATTCATGATTGCCATGATATTTTAATAGATTTCCATGTGTAAGCCAAATGTAATGGTCCAATTGTGAAAGCCATTCACGTCACACTGTAACATGAGAGAAGTGTTAACTTCCTCTTGGGATAACAGGCTAATCTAAGTGACCTTTAACATAGCTTTGGAGCACTGGAAAAAAGTTGAAATCATACTGCCTTTGGCTTTAAACATGGGAAAATCAGCTAGGAAAAGGACACTAAGGAGCTGAAGCACAGCACCTTTTCAATTGGATACAAGAGGCTCAGGCTGGAAGGAGTGAATTAGATGTAATGTGGAAGCCAAGCAGAGACCGTGCTTTGGTATACTTGATGTGGCTACTTGGATTTCCACTGTTCATAACTTGGGAGTGTCTTTTGCTTTTTCTTTCATGGGCGTTTGTGTTTTAGGGTGTTAGTCAAAGCAACTGAGATGTTTTGTGTGAGCTGCAAATAGTTGTGCTCTAGGGATATTTCAGTCTACTCCAGGATTGGAGGAGTGCTGTTGCGTGTACGCTGTACAGGTGTTTGTGGAGGATCTTTGCTTGTTAATGTTGAAGTGTCTGTCAGATTGATTCAGCATAATGAGGTTCTTGAAATGTGCAGCTACTTTGCAAAGCATTGCCATTTGCCTTCAGGTTTTGTCCAGGATGAAATGTTAAATGAGAGTCTGTGCATGTCCAGCTTGTGTTCGACAGACTACGTGCCCAAGGCAGTGGGTGATCAGGCAAAAGATCTTTAATACTGATGCTGTGGTCTTGATGAGCCTTTTGTGGTTTGCTGTGAAATGCATGGAGACATGGTTTTGACATGCCTCTCACTTGGATACATGATTTAGAAGGTATACCATAATTAACAGTATTGAAAGGCACTGAGACATCCAGAAGAATCAAGAGGGTTCTGCTCCCTACATCCACTCCCTGAAGAAAAAAATCAGTGAGGGTGACCTGGACTGTTTCTGTTCCAAATCAGGTCTGAAACCTGATTGTAATTGATCTAAATATGAATAATCAATTTATGCAATATATTGATACTATGTTTTAAATTGTTTGTGTTTTTCTATTTTTTGGATCCCCATATATGATATTTATTTTATTTATTTTTTTCGTCATCTTTGTCTTCCTTAATTTTAGTAGTTTTTACTTACTGATTTTTATTGTTGATTGATTTTATTATGAACTGTGTATTATATCATGTTGTAGATGGTGTTGTACATTAGGGATTTTAATGTGTTGCAAGCTGCCTGGAGTGCTTATGGCTTATTGGGCAGCATATGAATAAAAAAAAATGAATAAATGAATGTCCAAGCCACTTGATTAATGATGGGTAAGTATTATCTCTGCTTGGGTCAGTGAATATTCTTGATGGCTTCTTGTTGTAAACACTTAAAAGTGCTTGCTCCCTGTCTCATCTAAATCCTCTCCAGTCCTTAGGTGCGTTGGAAGGGTTGTTGTGTTGATTTTCTAGGCAGCTTTCTGATACCGCTTTTGGTACAAGTGAAGTAAAAGCAATCTGAGCAGTAGGGGTCAATTGGAGCATATCTGTGCCTATATCAGCACCAGCATTACAAACACCCACTTAATTTATAGGAAGAACTTTTACAAAGTTGGACAATTATGAAATTCCATTTAACTGTAAGAAATGCAGCATTCCTAGTGAAAATCCTGGGTAAAGCCTTCTACTGATTTGCTGTCATAGGCTGAATGTAATTGAAATAAAAACATGCAGCTTTGTTACACATCCCGCTTGGGAAATGCTAAGGCTGCATGTAGCCAGATTGCTTAGATCCTATTAAATCTGTAAGTGTATGCAGGATTGCAACTAGAGGTTCAGTTCAAATAGATCAATACTGGCATAATAAACCATGGTTAGGAAGCTGAAATGAGAGGTGTGCTTCTCTCTTCTTTCAAGTACAGTTGCTGTTACACCCAAATTAGGAAATTATGTTTTTCTCTTGGTTTACTAATCAGGATCAGATTGCAAACTTGAGATTAAATCAAAGTTTCCTGGTTTCATGGCATGGGAAACTTTAAACAATGTCTAATAAACTCATCAAAGCTGGTGCACAGAGCCAACATGACTGATAGCCAAGGATGCTGGGAGTTGTAGTACAAAAGAAGTTGAAGGTACCAGTTGTGCCTTTGCAGAAAGTACAGTAGGAATTATTCATACAATACTTTTTATTAAAGGTATACTTCTTATTTAAAAGCAGTTCCATTTCATGCAGCACATTCCTGCTTCTTTATTTAGGTAAAATGATCTCAAATATTATAAGTAACGGGGGATACTTTGATGGACATGGCATTTTACAGGCAGTGCAAGCAAGCAAAGACAGGTCATTGTCCTGGGGATCTTACATGTCAAACGCGGGAGGCACAGAAAGGAAAACAAAGATAATAGGATAAACCCGTTGCAACGATATTGTAATTACACATGCTGCACCTTCTGCCATTGTTTTCCATCCAGGTTTCGGCAGACTGATTCAGATTCCTTGCCAAACCTGCAAAGAAACATGGAAATTTAGGCTTGGGTTCAGGCAGGGTAGCGGGATTGGCATTGGGGTGCACCTTCGGAAGGCCGCACCTCAGCTACCGAAAGCCCGAGCCCTCTGGAGAGAGTGATTGGTAAGAAGAGAAGGAGTGAGAGCAGGATGGTTCAGCATCTGCTGCTGCTGCATTTGTTCAGCAGCAATGGGCAGCTCATCGAGGGTCTCCTCCTGGAACGAGTCCCAAACTTGGAGATGGCACTGAATTAGCTTTTAGCTAAAAAAGCAAAAACTAAATCAGTTTCTCATTAGACCATGATCATAAGCTCCAGTTCAGTCCCTCTGCAAAGTCAGCATGATGTCATATTCTGTTTGGAACCAGCTCAGCAAACGGTCTGAAAATAATGTTCTTATTAACAAAGCCAGTTGTAAGTTGAATTTATGCAAGAATTTTCTGCTCACAGTGCGTATCCTGGTATTTTACTAGCATCCCATTATTAGATCTGAATGAAACTCAGTCTTTTGAATGGGTCAAGAAAATGTCTGGCTCTAATAATGGCTGTAAACCACTTAATTCCTGTTCTGGTTGCTGATTACCTGAGGGGTAGCTGAAGAGCTGAAACTGTTGATTCCCTCGAAGGTTTCCAACATGTAAAAATCACAGTAGAGAAATCTGTGTACATGCTTCAGGTCACTTTTCGGATATTCTTATGCTTCAGAGATTCCTTTTGTATCATGCTATTGATACTCTACTAGTGTTGAAGCATCTCTGTGCATAGTTCATACAAGCCATGTGCTGCCTATACACAGCTGCATTTTGATTCATAGTTTCATCCTGTTTGCAGTACTTACATAGACTACTGAAACACTAAACACTAGCACTACCTTCAGTTCATCTGTAGGAGGCACTATCTAGCTTGGGGCATTATATGACTCAGGTATTGTGCGACTGTTTTCTGAGAGTCCAGAGAACACTTTGTCTGGGGTTGCATAAGTTCTTGACCTCGGAAGCAGGTCAAAGCCATGCCCCTGTTTCATGTAGCTGGGCCATAAGATCTCTGTACACCCCAGAGATGGTCAGAGAAACCATATAAATTTTAATTCCTCTTATTGGTCCTTCTAAAGCAATTTAGCTATATAAATGTAGTAACTGGCTACACAGTGATTGATTGAGATACATTTATATTATATTTTAATACAAGTTTGTTTAAATAATGGTGTTTTTCCAGTTTATTTTAGGATTTGAAGAGCAGGAAATACTGTATACATGGCAAAGAACATAACGCTTCTTCAGACAGTTATAATGTTGTTACTGCACGATTACATATCAGCTGAAGATGGTGATGTAAGATCAAGTAAGAATCAACTTTATTTGCTAATCATGGCTAGCTGATCAAACTTAGAGGCTTTTCCAGAGAAGATTACACTTCTCTCTCTTGCTTAATCTTTCTTCCAGCACTAACATCTAAACAACGTTGCATAACAAGGGCTTGATTTCCATTGGCTAATATAATTTATCATGAAAATAGAGGGATGTGCTCTTTAAAGGACCCTAGGTTTTGTTAATGTATTTCAGCTATGTAATATGGGATTTAGAAATTACATGTTTGGGCAGTCATGAGAAAAGTCTGTTACATTCTGTGACCCCATCTGTTGGATGAGGAATGTGTCTCCTGTTCCTCCTTCCCCACCCTGAGTTCAGTTACGAGTACCTTGTGTGCCTGGCTTAAGACATCCTGGTTTCTTAAACCTTAGCCTACAGCTGTCATCTGCAATGCAATGCATGCCAGAGAGACTTTTTTGAAAGTCTAGGTTGAGGTACCCACTAAGCTCTTTCCCCCATCTCAAAATGAAGATGCAATTTCTTCATTCACTTATATGGGGGAGTAGGGAAGAGATCAGGCAGGATTTCGAAGAGGGAGAGGAACTAGAGATCAAATTGCCAATATATGCTGGATCATGGAGAAAGCTAGGGAGTTCCAGAAAAACATCTACTTCTGCTTCATTGACTGTGCTAAAGCCTTTGATTGTGTGGATCACAACAAATTGTGGCAAGTTCTTAAAGAGATGGGAGTACCAGACCATCTTATTTGTCTCTTGAGAAACCTATATGCAGGTCAAGAAGCAACAGTGAGAACTGGACACGGAACCACTGATTGGTTCAAAATTGAACCAATCAGTATACTGTCGCCCTGCCTATTTAACTTACATGCAGAGCACATCATGAGAAAGGCAGGGCTAGATGAATCAGCAGTTGGAATTAAGATTGCTGGGAGAAATATCAACAACCTCAGATATACAGATGATACCACTCTAATGGCAGAAAGTGAAGAGGAACTAAAGAGCCTCTTGATGCGAGTGAAAGAGGAGAGCGCAAAAGTAGGCTTGAAACTCAACAATAAGAAAACTAAGATCGTGGCATCCGGTCCTCTCACGTCCTGGCAAATAGATGAGGAAGAAATGGGGGTAGTGACAGATTTTATTTTCCTGGGCTCCAAGTTGGGGACTGCAGCCAAGAAATTAAAAGACACTTGCTCCTTGCGAGGAAAGCTATGGCAACTCTAGACAGCATACTAAAAAGCAGAGACATCACCTTGCCAACAAAACAACAACTCACGTCAAGGCAATGGTTTTCCCAGTTGCAATGCATGGCTGTGAAAGCTGGACCATAAGGAAGGCTGAGCGCCAAAGGATTGAGGCCTTTGAATTGTGGTGCTGGAGGAGACTCCTGCGAGTCCCTTGGACCGCAAGGCAATCAAACCAGTCAGTCCTAAAGGAGATCAACCCTGACTGCTCTTTAGAAGGCCAGATACTGAAGATGAAACTCAAATACTTTGGCCACCTAATGAGAAGGAAGGACTCCCTGGAGAAGACCCTAATGCTGGGAACAATAGATGGCAAAAGAAGAAAGGGACGGCAGAGAATGAGGTGGCTAGATGGAGTCACTGAAGCAGTTGGTGTGAGCTTAAGCGGACTCCGGGGGATGGTGGAGGACAGGAAGGCCTGGAGGAATGTTGTTCATGGGGTTGCGATGGGTCGGACATGACTTTGCTTCTAATAACAACAACAACAGGGAAGACATCTGCTTTTTTAAAAAGTCTGTAAAAATTGTACCCCTACCAATGGCTCTTGGGGTTGCAGTGTCCTTGGCAGGGGCTGGGCTTCCTTTCCCTCAAACTGATTTTTGGCAGAGGGCTTTCCCTTCCCTATTGAATTGGATGGAGTAATTCCTATTATTCCAGGGAGGAGGAAAAAAGCCTTCCCTGTCAAACAGCAGCTGGAAATAGGGAGAAGGACTTTCTTCACCAAGGAGAAAGGCTCTGTCCTTGACAGAGGGTTGAATTCTCCCCACTTCCTGCTGATTTTCAGCAGGGCAGCTTATCCTTGTTGTTATGTGCCATCAAGGCATTTCCGACTAATGCAACCCTATGAATGAAAGGCCTCCACAATACCCTACCCATGGCTGTCCTGCTCAGCCATTCTAAATTCAAGGCTGGCTCCCTTTATGGACTCAGTCCAGCTCATATTTGACCTTCCTTTTGTTCGTCAGCCTTCAACTTTCCCTGGCATGATTGTTTTCTCCAGGGAGTTTAGCTTGTCCTTGCCCTATGCAAATGAAATCACTCTGTTCTCTTGAAAGTGGGGAAAGAGAGAAACCAGAGTAAAAGAGAAAGTTCCCCCGCATGTAGACACAAACATAAAGAAACAAGAATTCTGTAACTTTTTTGTGATTGGCCACCCCACCATCCTGCAGTGGTCAAATTGTGGTGGCACTCAGGCAGTTTGTCAGCATCCCAAATGCGCCTGCAGGCACGGAGAGGTTGAGACCTGTGGTCTACTGTAACATTTGAATTAGGAGACTTGAATCAGGAAACAAAGCAGATTGAAAATTGTGTCTGGGTGCGCACATGTTGGTGAATCTTGAGGGGGAGGGTTGGGGGGTCATTTTTGGTTTTTTGTGCCTAGGTTTTTATGTGCCTTCAGTTGAACCACTCAAACCAGAAATAAATTGAATAACACTCTGGAGAAATTATGTGGCAAGCTTAAAGTTACTGAGTAGTAACCTGAAGCTAAGCTCTGCTCTGCTATATACATTATGCCCTGTTGAAGCCAGCAATAATTTTTTTGGAATTCATGTTCACTAGTAAATTATCTTTGATGGATGTTTGTCCCTTGTGCTAACAGTAGAAAAAAATGTTTTATTTTATAGTCCTTCAAAAGGTTTCAGCCTCTCGTTTAAAAGGTTTAAGTCTTGATTGATTGAATGAAGAAATTTATATGCTACCCTTCAACATGAACATTGTCAGGCAGCTTACAAGTTAACATTATAAATACAATAAAACAATGTTTATAGAGCAGCTAAAAGTGACTTTAAAACATTACAACAATGGACCCTCCCCTGCAAAAAAGGGGTAGATATCAGGCATACGTTTTTGGGGAGAATGTTCTGCAGACCAGACTCTACCACCAGAAAGCCACTTACTTCGGCTCAAACAATAATGAGCACTCGCAGGGGCCATAGAAATATGAGTTGAGTTGATGGGCAGGTTCATGTTGGAGGTCAGCCCCTTAGAGGAGGGATGGGCAGACAGTAGATCTCTGGATAACTCCCAGAATCCCTTGCCAGCAGGACCTGTGATCCAGAATGCTAGGCACTGAATCCAGAACATCTGGAAATATACTTTCTTCTCATCCCTGCCCAAAGGTAGTTAGGTTTAAATTGTGTAGGGCTTTAAAGTAAGCACTAGTACCTTGAGTTGTTCTTGGAAATAGACAGGAAGCCAATAGATTTGTTTAAGCCCTGGCGAATTAGGAATGTGTAACACTGGAAAACTCATTCTGTTTGAGCATGAAGAGCTTTGGACACATTTGTGACCCGACAGTCAAAAGCAGGTTGAGTTGGGAGTTTGTTCTTGACTTCTGCAAAATTGCTTGAAATATTTGTGCAAATTTGGAGCCAATAACTGTAAGTCATTAGCAGAGATTGCACAAATTGTATAAATTGCATAAAGGAGGGCTGACTTATTAGACTCAGCTTGTTGTAATTGTTGTAGCACTTAACACAGAAGCATCCTCTGCCCACTGCATATCTGCACACTCCAGCTTGGCTACTTTGATCTTTTTGATAATTTTAGATTTGTGCAAAATTTGGGCTTCCACTCTTGCACAGTTTGTGTAAATTTGCACAAACTGGAGAGTGAAGACCTGATTGTTGATTTCTTTCTCTTCTTGCTTCTTTGGACTCTTACTAGCTGGTTCTTGCAAGTTTAAATAGAAGTAAGGGTCAGTCTTTAGATGACATTTGAAACAAACGTTTAACCCAACATCAGCATGCATTGCTATTTGGGAAAACTGCTGCAGAGGTAACCTTCCTTCACACACCATTTCTTTAATCTTGATCTCCCTGAAAAAGTTGCTATTATCCTCCTATAGATCTAGAACAATGCAAACATGCACCTTATTTCCTGAGAGCAAAGCTAATAGCAGCTTACAGGTGCTTGGTTCTGATAAGGAAGTCTAGTGAGGAAGTGTGTCTGCCTTTCCCAATTCTCAGCATTGCTCCCCTAATGCAGGCCTCACATGCTTTGCAGCTGCTTTTAAGCTTTTTTTAAGATGGCTCCCAAGCTTATCATAGATTTCCCATGTGGTTTGTTAAAAGCCACTTTATTATATGGGATTTCTTCTGCATAATGCACAAGATTACAGCCTTTGCCTTCAAGTAAGTGAATTTGCTTCATATGTATGCAGGTATCTGTCTCTTGATCCTAAGTTGATATAATTCTGTAGTGCATGTGGCCTGCATAATCCAGATCAAAGGTGGGTGACTTCAGGGGGCCATGTTACTTCCCATCTGTACCACTGAATTTGCTGCGGTTGCTGAATTCACCACATGAGCTACAAAAATCACTCTGATTTAGCAGGGTAACAAGGTGGACAGGGAGGACTTACCAACCAATAAATAGGCGGGAGTGTTTCCAAGTAGAGTTGTAATTCTGTTTTGAAGAAAGGAGTGTCCTTCCCACTGCACTTTGTTTCCTTTGCTGTGCCAAGCAGGAGGGTCCAAAGAACACTGTGTGTGGTGGGTTGCAGAAATGGCGTATGTGCTCAATGCTGCCAGCCCTGATCTAGGTTTATGCTTGTATAAAGCCTCTGCTTAATTGTAAAGCCAGTATTTTAAGTTTATCAACACATAAATAGGCATGAATTTCAGAAAATAATTGCAAACTGGAAACTTACTCTAAATAAAATGATTTCTTCATTGTTTTGCCTGATTTTATATCAGCACTTTAAATGGTGTTGATTTCAACAACAGAACCCTGTTGTATATTGGCAGCAGTCCTAAAGCTCTTGCTGTACATGAGTGGGGAAACCTCTGCACAGAGACTGAGAAATTAATCTGTATATGATGAGTTTTCCCGCTGATAGAAGAAAGATGGGAAGTCCACACATGGATCAGAGGCAATGTCTGTTGGGTCATTTGGTGTAAGCACCCATGTGACCACCCAGGGAGAGGTGTAGTATAGGGAACTGATAATGAAGGCTTATGTAAGGATGTGTTAATCTAGTATACTTTTGTACGTGGATGGATGCTATGTGGTTAGAAGCAACCCAATGTGGTTAGATCCTACCATTTAGTTTGGATGTTTGAAAGCTTGTGGTTTTTTTTTTTTCCAGTGAATTGTTTTGACCACAAACCACTCTAGGTTTTTTAATGGCTTAAGCCATGTCCTACATATTATGGAAAAACAATTGCTACATTTCTCCCCACCACCTCACCAGATGACTAATACATCTGTTTGAAAGTTCTCATTTCTCAAAAAAGGAAACTAAACCTAGTATGATAAGGGATATCATAATTTTAAATGTATGAAACAAATAAAAGCAAAGCAACACAGGTCTAGTTTTAAACAAACTGGGGTACAATTTGTGGGCATACGGTATGTCTGTGGGCATTAAAAAATGCAGGTAGCTTCATAATCTCTGTTTAGACCCCAGAGAATCCTAATTTTCCCGGGGAATAAATGAAAAAGAGCAATGGTGTCATTCTATAATGTATTAGCACAGAGAACATGCTATAGATATATGATCTTTGTTGTGTGTCCCCCCCCCCCCCCCCGCATCTCTTTATGCTATTTTGGGTGGGTTTTGTAATTACGTGTTTGAACTTTCTCCTTCAAACCATCACCCCTACCTAGTAAAATGCATTGGGACACACTGGAATCAACATGATTTAGGATATACTGCAAGTTTTTCTACCACATTTTCTCCCTGCTGAAATGGCTTGTATACTTTTTAAGTCCACCAAGGGCTAGAAAAAATACCCAGTGATCCCCTCCCTGCACCCCAGCTCAAATAGATAGTCTCCAAATGGACAGGGGTCTATATTTAACCCAACAGTCATTTTGCTTTAAGGTTCAAAATACCCAGATCATGAGATCACTAATAGGAGATCCCAGAGTAAGATAGCTTCCTGTTCAAATCAATAGATTTTCAAGACAGTTGTGGCTAATCTAACTCCTGTTAAATTAAAGTACAGCAAAAGAATACAATACTGACTTAAAACATAATTGAATGGGAGAACAGCATGAGATAAATAAGAGTTCACGCAATGTAGTGAAAGAAAAGGAGGAAAAGTCCATGGGTAAACCAGTAGGACTTTAGCTGGCATAAAAAGAAAAGCCTGCAAGCCTGTGCATCAGGAGGGAGGGAATTCCAGAGCAGAGGCTCCTGTATTGAGGATGTCCTCTCTCAGCTCACTCATTCTAGGCAAATGTGGCACCGTCAGGAGGGAAGCCCCACTCAGCGTTAATTTAAGCCATCTTGAGATCTGGTTTGGGTAAAGATGGGAAAGGTTTTAAACAAATTTCTGGGCAGGTCATATTATGTTTGGAAAAGTATGCTGTCTTGACTACAGGGAACTTGATGCTAGGATTCTGAAGAGATTACATTTAAAGCTAATTTGTGAAGCTTTTTTAAAAAATCAGCAATCCCAGGACATTTTTAATTATTTTTCTCCTTATTTTTTTAAGGTTGCCGAACTGCACCAGCAGATTTAGTTTTCATCTTGGATGGTTCTTACAGTGTTGGCCCGGAAAACTTTGAAATAGTCAAAAGATGGCTTGTCAATATTACAAGTAACTTTAACATAGGACCAAAGTTTATTCAAGTTGGAGTAGTTCAGTACAGTGATTATCCTGTACTTGAAATTCCACTTGCATCTTATGACTCCAATGAAAACCTAGTCAGAGGAATGGAATACATAGAGTACCTGGGTGGAAATACGCAAACGGGGAAGGCAATTCAGTTTGCAATTGACCACCTCTTTGCTAAATCCCCAAGATTCCTTACAAAAATTGCAATAGTTCTTACTGATGGTAAGTCACAAGATGAAGTCAAATATATAGCAGCTGAAGCAAGAAAAAACAAGATCACTCTGTTTGCCATTGGGGTTGGTTCAGAAACTGAAGAGGATGAACTGCGAGCAATTGCTAACAAGCCCTCATCAAGATATGTCTTCTATGTTGAAGATTATATTGCAATATCCAGAATAAGAGAAGTAATAAAGCAGAAACTCTGTGAAGGTAAATATCGATGACTCTCTTCACAGCAATTACACTTTTTAAAGATTAATTATGTTCCATTAGAGTGTTTCAGTGTTGCATTTTGGTTGCAAATGACTTACAAATCTGTGGGAAATGATGTAGTACAGAATTGGACTGTTAGTATGTTTAATTCAGCTTTGTTCACAGCAGCCTGGTACCTTCCAGATATTTAGACCTGCAATCCTAGCATTCCTGGCAGTGGCCATGCCTGGTGGAGCTTATTGTGGTTGAAGTTCTAAATATCTGAAAACCGCAAATGGAGGAAGTTGGTTTGCATGTCAGACAGCTGTTCTCCAGGACTTTAAACCAGAGCCTTTACCAGGAAGTCCATGTGCACGGCGTTTGTGGATGCTACAGGATTCCTGGGAAGGATTCCTGGGAAGGTACAGGATTCCTGGGAAGTGTGTGAGCTGGCCCTGGGACGTCACAATCCCAACTGCCTTACAGCACCATCCCATGCATGCTTCAACTGAAAAAAAATCCTGCAACTCTCAGCATTTCCCACCGCCTCACCATAGGGCTGTGTTTAGGACTTTTTTCTGTCCAAACGTGTGTAGGATTGTGCTCTTACATACAAAGGAGGCATTTGATTTTAAAAATTTGGCTTAAATGTTGGGCCTATTTGAAAGGCAGCACACAATTCTCCTGCTGATCAGAACTGAAAAAGGATGTTTCTGTGCAGCCAAAGGAAGCCCAGGTTTCGGATTAAGAAACAAAATTTGTAGAAGGAATGAGCAAGTGAGTCTCCATGGCAAGGCAGATGTTGTAATCACCACATCTGGCAATTTTCAAGTCTAGACGAGCTGTGAAGTGATGAAAGCGAGGCTGGCTGACCCAGCCTCAGTTTCTGTAGCAGCCTTTGCAGGCAGCTAACACGCATGCCTGAGCAGAGTGAGTGGAGAAACTGGAGAGGCCCTGATCCCTTCTATGGGAATTGAAGCCCCCAGGTACTGCTGTCTGGTCAGGGCTTGCTGGCTGCCGTTTGTTGCGAGCAGAATCCCCCTGGGCTCTTTTGGTGGTACTGCCAGTTTAGGCTTCTTGCCTTACTGTAGTTCTGCTATCTGGCCTCCTATTCTAGCCTTAACCTTATTCATAAATAAATTAATTTGTATCCTGCCTTTCCTCTTAAAAGGGCTGCTCATCCATATTCAAATGAAATCTTAATTAAAACATAGCACAGAAATAAAAACAACACTTAAGGCATGTCATGAAAAGAAACAAAAAGTCCAATGCAATACGTATTTCACAGCTTCTTTGTATGTTGATTGCTAGTTTTAAAATGGTTTAAATGATTCAGGAGAATTGTTAGCTTTGCGCTTTGTGACCTTTTGAAAATTCACATGGTGACATGAGAGCTGAGATGAAGGTTTTTACTACTTCTGTGCTTCCCTACAGTTCATTGTCATTGTCAAAACCATTACATGGAATGTTTGGAGATCCATGACTCATATCTGGGCAAGGTAGCTCTTGTTTCCTCTGCAATTGTCCTCGATCGGAATCACTTACATCCAGAGGAATTGTTTGCCTTGTGTGGTTAATTGGTTCCTTGGTGGTTAATGGTCCTCTTGTCCAGCAGGGTTCTGAATCACCACCCTCACATGCACATTTTCAGAAATGCGGGAGAATTGATCCTCTGCTGTAGAATCAGCTGACTGGGGCAGAACCTCTCTCTCCTGCACACTCCCATGGAGGATATGTACTTTGCTCTTCTAGCTAATTACTCGTGGATCAGAAGTTAGCAAGATCAAATCCTGCATGCCTTCTGTTTTACCACTTTCATTGTAACTGAGCAGAGAAACTGGGGTAATAAGTTGTTAGTCTTGCCCTTTATCCTTTCGGTTTTAAAAAACGAGCAGGGACAATACAAAATACTAGCATAATTTAATATCAGAGATATACCCTAAACCAGTGATGGCGAACCTTTTAGAGACTGAGTGCCCAAACTGCAACCCAAAACCCACTTATTTATCGCAAAGTGCCAACACTGCAATAAAACCTGAAAACTGAGGTTTTAGTTTAGAAAAAACAACTCACAGCCAGTCCAAGCCATACACACACACACACACACACACACACACACACACCCATCCATCCATCCTTGGCAGCACATTGACCGGCCATGTGAAAGCTCGGATGAGCTGTGACTAACGAGTTGTGGCATGTGACGTCATCACCTGGTGCCACTACTCCTTTCCGAGCATGTGCATGGCCCCAGTGTGTGCTGTTATTTGATGCTCGGCTGCTGGGGCAACTTGGCTTGCATGTCAACAAAGAGGGCTCTGTGTGCCCACTGTGGCACGCGTACCATAGGTTCGCTACCATTGGCCTAACCCTACCCTGGTGCACTTCCCTAACCCTAACATAGGAGTAAATACCATTGAAAGGGGCGATTGTGAAAAAGCCTTCCTTGAGTAGCTTTTTCTGCACAGCGCATCATTTATGCCCATTCTAAACACATTCCAACCATCAAAATCATGCCAGGACACCTTGTTTTTCTAACCCTAACCCAGTGATGGTGAACCTTTTAGAGACAGAGTATCCAAGCTGCAACCCAAAACCCACTTATATATTGTAAAGTGCCAACACTGCAATAAAACCTGAAAACAGCCAGTCCAAGCAACTCTCTCTCTCTCTCTCTCTCTCTCCTTGGCACTGCAGTGACCAGCCATGTGAAAACTCAGACGAGTCGCTGCTGCTGTTTCGTGGCTTGTGATGCCATTGCCTGGCACCACTACTCCTTTCCGAGCATGCGCATGGCCCCTATGTGCACTGTTATCCGATGCTCAGCTGCTGGGGTGAGGCTGGGGCAACTTGGCTTGCGTGCCAACAGAGAGGGCTCTGCGTGCCCGCTGTGGCACACGTGCCATAGGTTCGCCTCCACTGCCCTAAACCTTGCAGCTGTTGTTTGATGTTGTTCGTTAAAGTTTGTGCTTCATTTGAATTTACATATATAAATAATACATCTATAAGATGTTGTATTATTATTGGTGCTTCCTGTTTCCAATGCATTCTTTGCTGTCTATGTAACTGTGAGTGTTCCAGTGACACTGCAGTTGTAGGATAAGTTTGGATACAAATAACCTTCCCTTAAATTCTTGGTTCCGAATGGGTAAGAGGTCAGTTCCCCAGCTAATTCCAGAGAATTAGTCAGTCATGCCAGCTGCACGCCCATTGCTACAATCAGAGGGAGTTGGTGAATGGCTGATAAGCATATATGGGGGCAGGATTAGCCTACCCCTTCTAGTGGTGGCTTTCCAAAATACAGTGCATGGAACGTATCTCATGCACAGGCAGCCCTCACTTTGACTGCCTTCATTCTAGCTTCCAGTCTGCATGAGCAGCAGCTGTTATGATGGGGCTGCTTGTGAAAATGGGCCCTTGGTCAACACACATTTGGAAGCCATCATAAGACTGAGTGGATCAGTTTTGTTCAGTGTTTTTAATGGCTGTTGGCACCATAACAGAACATGACACAGAAACTCCTCATTACTTCTGCTTCCTCTTAGGAAATGAGAAAGCTGCCCAATATTGGGTCAAACCACTGGTCCATTTAATTCAGCTCCGTCGACACTGACTGGCAGCAGCTATCCTAGCGCTTCCTGGAGAATCAAACACGGGGCTGTCAGCATGCAAAGCAGGTGTCCTACCACCGAGCGGTGGCACCTCAGCAATGCTACATGCTCTGAGTGTTGCGCACCATCTACCATTACAGCACACCTAAGGCTGGATGTGCAGTTTCCTTGAGGAGTGCCTGTCCCTTTCTCGAAGAGCTGCAGCTCACATCGCATGCCAAGGGTGCCCTTGAAAATCTTGCTGCTGCCTGTTCCTGGGGGCTGCTGCTGGGAATGGGCCCATGGAGTGCATCATTGGCTTCTCAGAGGGTGGCCTTTGTCTCTCCGTTGGCATCCTCCTTCTTTCTGGGATGAGTTCCACTTCTCTATTCCCTGGGAAGTCTGAAAAGCAGAGACTTTACTGTATATTCTATGTCAGTGAGAAGAAATGTTGGTGCTTTTCTATTTTTTTTAACATTCTAGGTTATGTGCCCAGTATTGTGTTCTGTATGTGTGTTTTAAAGACGTGTTTGGCCAACTTTGAATTTTTTCTCAGCTGCATCATACTGTTTTAAAATGAAAGTGGTTTCAAGTCCATTGCAGGCCCACTGCATTCAAAGAAGTCACAACTGAACTGGTTTAATGCAATACTTATATTACAGCTTTTCGAGCTCTAGGTCTGGCTCTAGATTTTCTAGGGTGTGGATACTGGGACTTCATGTTGTCCATCTTATCCTAGATCCTACAAATGAATGGACAAGAGCACCCAAGAGTAAAGCAGGCCATCAGATTAGGAGCAAGAGAGAGCACAGGCAGTGGCTGGCAAATCTTCTGTCTCTTCTTGGTTTTTGGGAAGGGAGTGTGTAAGCCACAGGCATAGTTATGCTTTGGAAGAGTGTAGGGATGGCCAACACTGACTGGCTTTTAAAGGGACAGACAGACTCCTAGGTATACTAGTTGCTGGAGAGTCCAGCGATCACATGAGTGGGTGGATGCTACCTCACTCATGTCCTGCTTGTGAATTTCCCACAGGCATTTGGCTGGTCACTGTGCTAGCAGAAAGCTGAAGTAGATGGACCCGTCATGGGATTAAACATGGCTGCTCTTCTTCTGGTTCAGATATAACCCATGGTTTAGTGTTATGAGAATGAGGTGCAGTGGGCTTCAGACTTGTGCCATTTGCCTCTTCCCCTCCTGTCCCATTTATGTAGAAGAGGAGGAGATTGAAAGCTCCCACTTTTGATTTTCAAAACTGCAGTTTCCTAGCATATCCAAACCTATAATGTTTATGAACAGACTCTGCTCTCCTCTGCTCTCCGAGTTCAGACATCACAGAATGAATATGGTCAATTCTTCTATTAGGTTCACAAGACATGAGGATCTCCATGAGACAGAGTATCTGGATGTTATCACTTATATGTTGGCAGATTGATGTAAAAATCCAGCAATAAGAATACCATAATACACAACTTTTTTAAGAGTAAAGCATAAGCCTGCTCATTCAAATTTCTGCATGCAAAATAGAGACAAATAAGTACAACAATCGAAATCAAGAGATCTCACTCTGAGGCTTCTTAGCACAGCCTTATGTTGACCTGAGATGTACCATACATATGAGTCAATGCACGATAAATTGGTTTATAAAAACTTTTTTTAAATGGATGAAATAGAATAGAATGTCTTTTCCCATAAAATGAAATATTGAAATATTGGCATTTGATATATTATACTTCAGTTTGCTAGGATTTACCCATTATATGATATCTAGGATATTGTAGATCTTTCAGTTTGAAAGATAAAATAGTTCTGATATGTACACGTGCATTTACACAGGAATGGGAAATGCTCTAGTTGTGCACAATCATTAGAGTTGAAACAGTTCACTAATCCTAAGAATGGTAAGATTTTTGAGACATTTTGCCACATGTCAGCTAACCATTTTAATCTCTGTGCTCTTATTCCTATGAAGGCCAAACACGTAGAGTGACCAGCTCACTGGTCATTTTAGCAAAATTAGAATATCAACACTTGCAGCTCCTTTGACTTCACACTTTTTGGAATTTAATGATATAGCTGAAGATCTGGAGTGCTAATGAACAAGTTTTCTATATCTATTCAGAAAAGACAAGACTCTCATATTTTACTTTTTCAGAGATTTTGTGTGTATGCCTGTGTGAGTGTGTGTGGGGGATTTTCATACTACAGTCAGTCAACTCCAGTGGTCTAAATGAGAAATTTACAGTATTTTTGTAATAAACTTACTAAACTCAGTGCTATGTCTGTTTCCCATTGGAATAACTTTCTAGTGTCGTTTGTGTTGCTTTAAAAATCAGTCATGCTTTTGAAGGAGTGATGCTGCTGCCACCACCACCAATTAAGTCAAGTTTCAGGCATTTTTATTTTGATGATGTAAAGAGTTGTAAAGAGAAGGTTGAGATTGTGTTTCAGAAGCTCAATTGACTGTGAATGGGTGAGCATTGCTGGGCTCTGAACCGTCTCTCTGTGTGTGTTATATCAGTTCATATTAAGCAGCAAAACTTATGTGCTGTGTAGAAAAACTGTGTTTCACGGGTTGAACTCTCAAGAATCACACTGATCACAAAATGCGTGGGAGCATATTGCAGCTGACAACTCAATCTGGAATCTGGAGGGAAAAAAGCCAAGGAAAAAAATCTTTCCCTTTAGGAAGCAGAAACTATTTTCAAATGAACTTGAAAAAGACCTAGAGCTGAAATGGATTTGTACTGACATTTTGTTGTACTTATTTGTATTATGTGGTTGTGAGTGCAATATAAATGCCATTTGCATGTGTTCATTTCAACATGTGTTTCCGTTGTCTGGTTGCTGGTGTAATAGAGTCTCATCTGTATATCATTTGAGTCTTTTCTTTGGGCTTGTGATTTTTTTTAGAGACCCTTACGGTGTGCTTTTCTATCTTACACAATGTAAATAGAACTCTGTGAATCAGGTTGTCTGAACCATGTGGGTGTCCTGCCTACACTACTGTAATGTGGTCATCAGACTCAATACAGGGAGGATTAGTGATATCGCTAGTTCAACAGTTGTTATATCACTGAGGGAAAAAGGTACTATCAACAGTAGTCAGCACACTGAAGTAAATGGTAAAGTTGGACTTTTAGGCCATGCCATCCAAAATTATTATTACTGTGCTATTGTAGTCTAAGGTTGCCCCTTAAGCGTTCCAAGTCATGTGTGTTAGAACTTTGGTATCGTATCTGTAAATAACATGGTTTATGTATTTTTTGCTTCATAGAATCTGTTTGCCCAACAAGAATTCCTGTGGCATCCCGGGATGAAAAGGGATTTGATATCCTTCTAGGTTTAGGTGTAAAGAAAAAGGTGAAAAAGAGAATTCAGATCCCATCTACAAATGCAAAAGCTTATGAAGTAACCTCACGCATTGATTTGTCAGAATTGACAAGGTACTTCCTTTTAGTGAGTTGTACCATTTCTTAATACAATTTCCTTGTGATATACAGAGTAACTGTCTTGGAATTCTCTAAGAAATTATGTATTGCTGATTTATTTAAATCACTTCCCAGGGATGTTTTTCCAGAAGGACTTCCTCCATCATATGTGTTTGTATCCACTCAGAGATTTAAAGTCAGAAAAACATGGGATTTATGGAGGATTTTAAGCCTGGATGGAAGAACACAAATAGCTGTTACTATAAATGGAGAAGACAGAACTCTGTCATTTACTACAACAAGCCTTATAAATGATACTCAAGTTGTTACTTTTACTGCGCCCCGTGTAAAGGTAAAGAGAACATCACTTGAAATGTCTATGGCACTCTATACTAAAATGTGAAGAGATCTAGTACTTCACTGTGGTTATAACTAAGCCTTGGGATGATACTCACACCACCTTTGCTTCTTGAATATGGAGAACTGAGCACAAATATGCATGCCTCTTGTCAAGTCTGAATAGCATGCTGTGTCAAAATGGCCATCTTTTCTTCTGAAAAGTGTAAGAATCAAGAGCAGAAACCAGCCCTGATACTGGATGGCACATACCTGCTCAGAATCATTGTGGCACAGTAAGGAGAATGCTGCCACCAACCCAGAATGGCATGGCGTTAGCTGCAGGCAAGCAGCCTCAGTTCTCCCTCATGCAGTATTTGTGCTGCTCTCCAAATGGTTGTCTAAGTTGCCATATTGATTTTTTTTCCTGTTGTCTTTTAGAATTGACTTTTTTCTGGTGTGTTTTATTCCTGGTGCTGCCTTAACTAAACCTTTGACTTAGAAAGGCAGGCTGTACATGCCAGAATATAGATGCTATTGTATCATTAAAACATGGAGATTAATGGTATAGCTTTATTTTGGGTAGGCACAAGATGGAAGATGAAACTTGACATGATTATATTTCATCAAAAGGAAATAACTGGGAAAAATCCAGAGTTTGGATTCTTCTCAGATAAGTCTGATGTAATATTGGGCCATTTCTTTAAGTTTATAAGAGATAATAACATCCTAGATTAATTGCAGCATGCAAGTCTTACATGCAAGTAATGTAATGCTTTTCCATTTTGGAATATGTATATATAAATCATACATATATTTACCATACACTCTTATTTTTTCTCTAGACATTGTTTGATGAAAGATGGCATCAAATCCGTCTCTTAGTAACAGAAGCAGATGTGACATTGTATATAGATGATCAAGAAACAGAAACGAAACCACTGCATCCTGTTTTAGGGATCTATATTAGCGGAGTAACTCAAATAGGAAAATATTCTGGGAAAGAGGAGACTGTACAGGTATATTCCCATTCAGAATACTACTTATGTGGAAGTGAGATACATTTACCTAATACTAGATATATAGCATAATCTTAAGCATGATTTAGTTGGACCATATCCAATTATATTTAATGGAATTTATCCAGTTATGTTTAATGGAATTTACTTTCCAATAAATGGGTTACTATACATTAGTATAAGTGATTTATCCAAGTGATTGAAATTCTTACACATCCCTAAACTCACTCACTCTCTCTCTCTCTCTCTCTCTCTCTCTCTCTCTCACACACACACACACACACACACACACACACACACCACAGCCCGCCAGCCTCAGTGAGTGTCAGATGGGATAAAAGATGCCTGATAATCTGCAAAACAAACATGGAACGGATTTAACGAATACTGTACACCCAGAACTTGCAACTCTCAGTGTTCCCTAAGCAAATGTGGCTGGGAGTTACAGGCCTGATTTCTGTCTAAGCATGCCTAGGACTGCTCCCTAAGTGAATTTGCAAATCACAGAGAAAGTCCCGATGAGAATCTGTTCATTAAATACCACCAGAAAGAACTGTGTCATGTGTCTGTAATCTTTGCATTGTAGTTTGATGTCCAAAAGCTACGGATCTACTGCGACCCAGAACAAAACAACAGGGAAACAGCCTGTGAGATACCTGGGAATGTGAGTAGGATGAAAACTCGGGGTTTTTTGCAGGGCAGGGGGTGGGGCAGGGTTGCTGCATGTTTTTAAATATAATCTACTAGTGGGGAAGAAGGAGTTTTCTATAAGTGGCTGCAGCTTCCTTCCCCATTTTTAAAAACGTGTGCCATAACTGTGTTGTCAGCTGTCTCAGAGTTTAAAAAAATCAGGCTGCTGCTACTCACAAGACTGGACAACATACCTGCAAGTTCCATGGTGATGGATTTTTCTACCATATGTGGGTCTCTTGCAGCCTTCTTTTAAACTGGTGCCCTCCAGATATTTTGGGCTGTAACTCCCAATTACTTAACTATTGACCATATTGGTTGAGGCTGATGGGAAATGAAGTCTAAGACATCCAAACAAAGGTAGAGGCACCAAGCTGGAGAATAAAGGGTTAAAAACTCCCTTTATGCAGATGTTAGGTATAGTTCCAGTGAATCATTTAATTAACAACATGACTCCTCGGGCTGATTACAATCTGTAGGATGATACGTGTGCCCTTGGTGTGCCTTTATATATGTATATATAATCATCAACATCTCTCTGTATATGCTGATTTTAAATAATTTTAATAGTCTTCTAAAAATGTGTTATTTTCTTTTCAGAATGGAGAGGTAGGCAAAATCATGGCTTTTAAGGTAGTATTATAACTTCCTTTTGGATTTTTTAAATTTAATTTAATTTTATTTTTGCACGAGACATTCATTGTAATTGCAAGAGGTGATAACATGCTGCTTGTCTGCAGTAGCCAAGTTTTCTGTTCAAACCCTTTTTGATATGATGACAATTTCATTTTTTCCCTTTGTGTTTAGTACTTCTTTTTAAAGTAAATAATATTGTGTAAACTGCATTTCAAGTGCAAATGGTACTGCATTACTTAGATTAAAGTATTTAATAGTAGAATGAATAGTAGCATTTAGTTCTCACACTGAAACACATTTTCATGGTAGGTTGTATACATGGATTGGTGCTTGGGCACACAGGAGACTTAGTATGGGAATTATTGATTTAAAATACATAAAACAAAACCCATTTGCTGATTTCATCAACATGCCTGTACTGGAATCCTGCCCAACCTGGTTGTCTCCGGATGTGACCTAGATCTTCTATATCTGGCTGTGGAATTATGGGAGCGGTAGTCCATCTGGAAGGGGACAGACTAGGGTGGGGTGGTGGTTTTGGGTTTGGGTCTTTTTTTTTTTTTTTTGGAATCACACAATCACTGCCATACAAGCAAGCATGTTTGATTTTAGTGGGGGTTTAAACAAGAAAACCCCTGCCAGGGTAAGTTGTTAAAACATAAAAATGTTTCCATTTGGCTTGAAACATGTTTTTGGTTTTGGTAGTGCTTGAATGGACCTAGTGATGTTGGCTCTACACCACCTCCTTGTATATGCCCCCCAGGAAAACAAGGACCACCAGGTCCCAAAGTGAGTAGAATTCTCATATAATGTAATAGTGTTTTGATTTTGTTTACCTCTATGACAACAATGCAATCATTTTTGAACATTAGCAGACTTGTATTCATTTACAGAACCTCATCTTTCCATGGGTCTATTATTGGTGAAGATTGGAGGGAGCAAACTGGGATACTTTCCATGAGTGGATCCAGGAAGATCCTGGATCTGCTGCAGTGATTCTAAATGATTCACTTCACTGAGTTCCCAGCCGAGCAGCTTACATTGTTCACATCAACCGTCCAGATGTTTTACTTAGTTATGCATATTAGAAAAGTCTGTAACAGCTTAAATATCAAGTGCAAGGCCATATCTTGTGAAGACGGTACAAGAGTCAATGAGAGTGTATTCCACTGAGAGATTAAGGGTTGTATTGTGAAGACCAGCTCTTGCATAAAACATCTCCAGGCTTATTGCCAAGGCTTTATGACTTTGAAAATGTAAATTCTAAAAGTGCCAAAAAAATGAAAGATTAGTGAATAGGCCCATTGACTTGCAGACCCCCAGCCCACCATTTAAGAGCATGTCTCAGAAAAGCATTTCCAAAATGGGACTGCGGAGTTTGGGGAGGGAGAATTTAACCCCTTCTCTCCTGCTGTCATGTCAGAAATTGCCCTCTAAGCTACTGGAGTTGGAAGAGAACTCCGCAGGGGCAATGCCTGGGCGAGGGCGCAAGGGGATTTTTAAGCACCCCTCCCGCCACTGCTGTAGCCATGCTGCTACCCAGGCCACCTTGTGGCTGGTGCTTTCAGTTTTGAAAATGCGCATGGTAATTGCATCCACGCAGTGAACATAGTGTCTAGTTTGACCATGTGAGAATACACAGAAGCGGATATGAGGAGATGCATGGTTAGCTGCTCTTACTTAAGCTGCTTTAGGCAAAGTGATGGAAAACTTTGGTGGCAGACATGCTTCGTTTTCCCTGAAAGGCATGTGTGACTGAAGTTCAATGACATGTTCCATCAAGGAGAAACACACACAGAGGGACGTACATACACAGAGAAAGCAGGTTGGTCATGTCAGTGTTAACGGCATCTTCTGCGCACATCTCTGGCTTCTGAATGTCATACAAAATATGTCAACATGTCTTAGGTGTCTCAGAATGGGAGGGAAGAAGAGTGTGGTTAGTTTAAAAAAAAGAAAAAAAAACCCTTCCTTCCCTGCACTATATGGGGAGATTTCAGGAAAATTTTTCTGCTAGAAAATTCCCCAGTGCTGGAAGCGGGGGATCGGGGTTAAGGGATATGTGCCATGTGCTTAAAGTCTCTTCCCCATGTTGCTTGGGGAGATTATAGAATGAGGAAGGACAAAGACCCAGTTTTGCATGATCCCCACAGCTGTTACAATAACAATAATGTTGGCTAGTTTAGGCGGTGGTGTGTGCTTGGGTGCAGTCTGTCATGTCATCTGAACCAAGGTGGCATGGTTGTGTTATATAAGGCTTGTTTAAAAGAAACAAGCCTTAAATAACACTGCAAAAGGTTGTGGGTTATTATTCCTTTTATTTTTCCTTTCTCCTGCTTCCCACCAGCAGTAAAGGTACAACAAAGCCCCATGCTTGAGCTTTTTACCACTAAAAACCTATTGCAAGGGAGGTTTTCAGGAGGCTGGGAAAGAACCTACTCCTTTCCATTTCTTCCCCCACTTTTAAAATGTCTGCGCCCTACTCCACACAGCAGACCGTGAACCACAGTACAGGGCTTCTGTTCTGGGCTGGTTGGAGGTCTGAATGCCCCCACTGAAAGCAGGGAATAGAGTGCAACCTCTTGTTGCTCGTCTCTAGGTGTTTGCTGCTATTCCAACATGTCTGTCTTCTCCCCAGGGTGATCCTGGACAACCTGGGAACCATGGCTATCCTGGAGAACCTGGTCCAGATGGTAAGCCTGTGAGTACTACAAACTTAGTCATCTATAGTAATTGTAATGCAAACTAACTTTACATTGTATCAGAACATTATTAAGGATGACAGATAATTCAGTATAAAGATTGGGATTATGGATCAGTAATAACTTGCTCAATACCTACTGGGGAAAATTGGGAAAGATTCACACCTTGCATTGAAATATGTGCCAAAGGAAGATTGTATTAATGCAGCCTTTGGCTTAAACATATACTTTATTGCATCACAGTGTCTAATCTTAGCACTATGCTTCCTAGATTTTTTTAGCCAACTCTTATTGAATGCGTACAAAATGTAAATGAGAAAAGTATATATGATAACGTGCCTGAGAAACTGAATATATGCCAAATGGGTGAAGGGTTAGTTCATCTTTCCTTTAAAAAAAGTTTCTGCCTTTAAAAAAAACCCTTTGTATACTGTGTTGGCCCAGTTCAGGTGTGATATCTGCACGGGAACATTAAAAAAGACAAATTAACAAAATAGTGGGGCTCTCCATCTGGCTACTGCTTTTAAAGAAGTGGGTATGACAGATCCTCAGTACATTATTAAAAAATTCTGTTAAAGTACCATGCAGTTTGGCCTTAGGCTTCCATTTGTTTGGCTGTATTGAGCCCATCACGGCTGTCCAATACTACTTCAGTGCTTTCACAGTCTACCTAGGATGTTATGGGGGGCAGAGAGAAAGGGATAAGCCTGCTTTGATTAAGGGGAAGTGGGTCCATACTGCTGGCCCCACCTGTGATGGCTGTGCATTGAATGTGGGTGTCTGAGCAAGATAAGCCTAGCAGTCTTCATATTTGGTTTCATCTGGGGCCAGGGACAGGAAGCCTAAAGAAAGAGAGAGAAACTGAGTTGAAATAACATGGTAATCATAAATAATCAGGTATTGAGTGTGGGTTGAGTATAGGTTACTGTTGTACTATGGGTTGTTGCTGAAACATGGTTTATGTGTTGACTGAACCCTGCTGAGATAAACTGTGGTGAACAACTCACAGGGAACTACCTGACAACAAACCATGGGTTAGTTTCATGGGTTGTTTATGGTTAACCAGTCATGGCTTGCTATTGCAACTGGATTTAGACAAAATGATAACTCGCATTTTCATAACAGCTGGAGGTTTGAGGTAGCAAAATAAAAGCAAATTTTGCAAAGTCATATTCTCAGTGTTCTGGCAAATATTTGAATGAATAGTTCTCATTAAGATAGGAGCTATACACAAGGAGTGGAAGTGTCAGAAAGGAGGCTCAATCTAAAGGTTCAAATCAGTTAAGGAGCGCTTATGTCCATATGTGCCCTCCTGCCCCTTGAGATTGGCGGCAGAGGCCCTTCTCCGGGAGCCCTCCGTGAAGGACATTAGGAGGGTGAGTACCCGGAGGAGGGCTTTCTCTGCAGTGGCGCCCAATCTATGGAATGCGCTCCCTAGAGAGGTCCTCCTGGCGCCGTCGTTATTTGCTTTTCAGTGCCAGGCCAAGACCTTTTAATTTAAACATCATTTTAATTGTTGATTTTATTTATTGATTTTAACAACTTTGGCTAGGATGTCTCCAATTTTATATAATTGTATTAATGATATTTATTTATTTATGTTTGTAAGCCGCCCCGAGGCTTCAGCGAATGGGGCGGCATATAAGTTTGCTAAATAACTAAATAAGGTAATTTTTCCAGGTAATTAAAGTTGGGGAAAACTAAAATGCTGAAATAGGATCAGAACTTTAGGCTAAGAACTGTACAGCTTCTTTTAAGATTGGCAATAATATAGTCAAATAATTTGGTTTTAATTCTTCAAAGCCTTTAGAATGTTTCCAAAAACATTCTTCTCAAACCGAAAGTTAGGCAACATGATCATTAATGTTGTTAATGCCACCTAAGGTACAGTATTTTTGCCCATAATCTACACCGTGATTTTTATGTGTTTCAAAATATATTCCTGGTTAGAACCTTATGTTATGTTGGTAGTGGTATATTTAGTTTCTGTATCAGCATTTTATGGAAAAGTTTAGATACATGTTTGCTGGAAACTATAAATCTTGGGAATATTGCCAATTACTTGGAGATCTCAATGTTACACTTTATAAAATGTCCAAATTTCTTATTTTGGTTGCTTAGCTACATTTTGGCCATGTTCGTAAGTACAGCAGATGGTTGAAATTACTGTGGTGGTTCCCTTTGGATGCTGACACAGTACTAGTATGAAGAGAAATAATACCAAAAATACACATTTCCACGTACTGAGGATTACACTGGGGAAGAGTCCAAGAATTTGAATCAGAAACCTTGGAATAGGGTTTAAACAGAGCTCATAGCTAGCAGAATGAGTGCTTATTTTTAAAAAATGGTTTCAAGTTTGTATGGGTTTACTTGTATATTTCATCTAAATTATACATCCTCCATTTCACCAAAATGCTGAAATATCCTCCAGTAGAAAATGAAGCCACTTCATGTGTTTTTGTTTGTTGTCAATGTGCTGTTAAGTAATCTCCAACTTATGGTGACCCTATGGATTGGTGCCCTCCAAAATATCCTGTCTTTGACAGCATGGCTCTTATACACTCAAGGCTGTGGTTTCCTTTATGGAATTCATCCATCTCATATTGGGATGCTGCTGCTGCTGCTGCTGCTGCTGCTGCTGCTGCTGCTGCTCCTCCTCCTCCTCCTCCTCCTCATGATGTGCCGGAAGTATGACAGCTTCAGTTTAATCATTTTTGCTTCCAGGGAAAGTACTGCCTTGACTTGATCTAGGACCCATTTGTTTGCCTTCCTATCAGTCCCAGGTATTCACCAAAGCTATCTTCCAGAACCATATTTTAAACACATCATTTTTGTCAGCTGTCATCACTGTCCACCTTTCACACCTGTGCATAGTGATAGCACAGATGATCTTGGCTTTGGTCTCCAGCAAAATGTCCTTAAACTTGCTGATCATTTCTAGTTCCCTCATTGCTGCCTCTCCAAGTCTTCTAATTTCTTGGCTGCAGCTTCCCTTTAAATTGATGATTGAGCCAAGGTATACAATATCTGTTTAAAGTTTCACTTTCTTCATTGTTCATGATAAAATTAATGTAATCTTTCAGTAGACATGATTTTTGTTTTCTTGATGTTTCACTGAAGTCCTGCTTTTTCACTTTATTCTTTCACTTTCATCAGAGGTTGTTTCAGTATGCTGTTGCTTTCTGCAAGTAATATGTTATCACCTGCATATATTAGACCATTTGATACCTTCCATGAATTTTCACTCCTGCTACCTCTGATCTGAATCCAGCTTCCTTTATGATATGTTCAGTGTACAGAAAGAACAGAGAGGGAGATAAAATATACCCTTGTCTGATGCCTTTGCCTATGAGAAACCTGTTTCTCCATATCGTGTTCCGACAGTAGCTTCTGGTCCATGATACTGGTTGTGCACAGGCAGCTTGCTAAGAAGCACACCGGGGGGCAGGGGGTGAGGCACCCCTGCAGTCTCTGGTCCCTGAATTCCACATATTTTATATTATATAAAATATAATATTTTATATTATATTTTATATTGTTATTTCTTGTATTTTAATTTTATGTTGTGAGCTGCCCCGAGGCTTCGGCAAATGGGGCGACATAGAAATGTTTTAATAAATAAATAATAAATAAATAAAATATTTGCTGGAGGGCTGGAAAGGTTCATGAAAGTGCAGGGCTTAGCCATCACAAGGAAAGCCTATGTACATGCACATGTATGGGCCTTCATTTTAGACTTTCCACCAAAGACTGACACACGGAGCAATAAACCCCAGTAAAAGCTCAACAGGAAAATTCGGTGTTAAAATGGCAAAAGCAGTCAGGCATGACAAAAAACTGTAGCAAACTACTGACAATCCCTTCCAAAGCACCCTATGTGAATAAAACAAGTATTTGGCACAGAAAAGACAACAAAACGGGTACCAGGCAGTTTCCCTGGACAGCATACGTCATACACTGCAAGGATGCAAACAGTGTGACCTGCGGGCTGCAGGTAGGGATGTGCAAAGAGGACACCCCTGGATTCCTGACTCTCAACCCAAGGCATTGACTCACCCTGGTGTGAACTGAGCCAACCTGTGTTCCTTTGCTTTTAAAGCAGGCTGCAATGTGCACTTTTTTTTTTTTTTTTTTTTTGAGTCAGTGAAATGTGCATAAATTTCAGGGGCAAACAATTCACTTTAAAAATGGAAGCTGCAAAATAGAACAAACAGCCAACTCTGTCTGCCTTTAGCCCGTATCAGTGAGGTCTAAAAGTCCACTAAATGCAAGAAGATTCAGTTTCTCAGTAAAGCACATCTTAAACTGCAGGCCCAAGGGAGGGGAGGGGGAATGTTCACTAGAAGCATCAATGGCCTTGTAATGTCTGACTTACAGATGGGTCATAAGCTGTGTACCCAAAACCAACGACCTCACAATATTTCTGCCATCATATTTTCAGACCAGTTATATCAGAACCTTTTTATACATTGCGTTTCTGCAGTATATATTTCCGTGTGTACTAAACTTGTGTAATTGGTCTCCCTCATCCCACCTCTTGGACCCATGGCCTGCCCTCCCCTTTCTTTCCCAGAGAATGAACTTAAGAGCATGTCCTGCTACTGAGCCATGGCCATCCAGCCCCATTCTTCAGAATCCAGCTGGAATTTATTTTGCCTTAAAAGATGGCATGCCATTAATAACAAAGCAGGGAGACTGAACGCTATATTACTTTCCAATTTTAGTTTAAGTGTTATTCTTTCCCAAAGAGCTTTATTTTGGCAATCTTGTATTATAATGTTAGGTTTGCGGTCATAGACCCAGATATGAGGCCATTAATATATCTGTGATGGTCTTTCTCTGTATACCTAGTGAAGACTTAAAGCTGCCAATCTGTTAATTATCAGGTGTGAGCTATGGACTTTCATCCTCTTTCTCACTGCCTCAAATGCAGTATTCCTTCAATTCTTTGGCTTTGACTGTGATTTAGTGCCATGCCATGTCTACTTCCAAAGCT